ACCTAGAGCTCAATTCTTTGGGTGGTTGGTTTGGAGGGGTAGAATAAAGACTGCTAGTTTTTTTTAAGTAAAATTACAATCCTAAATGATAATGTTGATGTTTGTTGTATTTTCTATAAAGATGAGGAGGAAACTACAAACCATGTGCTACTTCATTGCCCCTTTACTTGGTAGACTTGGTCTTATTTTGTTAACTGGTGGGGATTACAATTGGTATCACCAGGTTCAGTCTAGAGTTTGTTTAATTGGTGGTCTGGGTGTAGATTGAACAAGATGGAAAGAAAGATATGGAGTGTCATCCCATTAGCTATGTTTTGGTCCATTTGGAATCTAAGGGATGAATGTGTATTTAATGGGAGACAACCTGTTCTATATGAACTTTGTGAAGCTGTTAAGGTGAGAATTGCTTTGTGGGTTATGTACTCATCCTCTACTTTGGCCTATTCTGTGAATAATTTGGTTCACAACCTTCAACAAGTAAGGATCTGTATTGATGGGAGATGATGTTTGGATTGCTAAGGAGGTTAAGTAACAGAGGTGTTACAAGGAAAGGCTTGAAGTGGGGCTGCTGTTTTTTTATTTTATTTTATTATATTTTATTTTTGATGGTTGTTGTTTTCTTCTGTCTCTTTTCTGTGTTGGTTTCTCACCAACTTGTCTGTGCTTGGTTTTGTTTGTGTATCTTACTTGGTGCCAACCTAGTTGGGATTAGGTAGGTGCACATTTTTTCTTTTGCTCTTGTCTCTTCCTTTATTGATGTATGGTCATATGTATTCATGTCTATTATCATCAATAAAGTTTCTTTTTTTTCTAATTAAAAAACAAACAAAATTGTGAATTTTCAATCTACAATATGATCTATAATAATCCATACATACATGATAAAAGGAGATTTAAAGCACACTTCAAGCAAACAATTGCATCAAACACACAAATGATGTGAACCATGTCGCACATCAAAATCGCTCCACATTTATCTACAATCAGCCTAAACCTTGCATAATCTCATTCCCTTGGGTACGAACTCCCACCACAAATCAGTAATTTAGAATATATAATAATATATATGATTGATAGGTAGAAACATGCGTATGAAAACAAAGAAGATGGAAGTCACCTTATAGAAAGAAGTCCATGATTGTGAAATGTTTGTGAAAGGTGGGAGTTCTTTAACATGGGAAGTTATATTTTGTGAGTTGGTAATTTATGATTTTATCCTTAACTATAAATTAATATCAGTTTAAAAATAGTATAATTATCGAAGAAGTTAAGGTTGTTTTAGGAAAATTATTAAAAAAATTATGAGAGCATCGCTTCAAGACTCCAAAGTAGCTGTTGGCTTGTAATAAGTATAGATTATAAGAGTTTCCATTTTGGTATAGATAAAATTATATTGTTATGAATAATTTGTTTTAATAAGACAAAATATTTTCTTTCATTTTACTCTTAATTTACCCTAGTTATTTTTAGGAGATTTTTTTTAAGGTCCCTAGTATTAAGATTTTATAGCATAAAGGACACCCAATATTTTCATAATGTCTAAGGTCCCTCAACATCAATCCAGAGAAAATTTCAATCCAGAGAAAATTGAACACCGAGAGAAAATTTCAATCCATAGAAAATTGAACAACCAGAGAAAATTTCAATCTAGAGAAAATTTTAATTCTGAGAACGTTTTATTTTCAACTGTAACAGCCCTCTCCTTGAGAAGCATTGACATTTCTACCTCCCGATGGCCTTGGAATGCCACCGTATCCGACTTTTATCCCAAAAGTCTATAAAACAAAACAAATAACCAGAAGGTCCATTATCCTAATCCGAAGTGGATTCGTGACAAGTCTTCATCTTTCCTATTCAACATCACCCAATCACATACTAAACCTAACATTATATATATATATATATATAGGGAGACATAGAGAGAGAGAAAGAGAAAGAGAGAGAGAGAGAGAGAGATTCACTATGAATTTGGTGGCGGAGAATTTCTTGCGCCTTATCTTCCAAGTAAGCCTAAGACAACAGATCCTAAAAAGCTTTATGTTCTTGTTCGGATTTCCCTCTATCGCCGTCAATCTTCCACAATCTCATATCTGAGATTTGTTGCACCCTCATTGACACTGGTGACACACCCCTTTTGTCTCCCAAAACCTCCGATCTACGCACCATTGGCGTACATATATGTAGCTTTAGCGTCTTGAAGACCTAAGATCGCTGCCTAGAAGAAAAGAGAGATAGAGAGAGAGAAAGAGATCTGAGATTTCTTGCGTCGTCGTTGTTACTGGTGACACACCGCCTCCGTTTCTGAAAACCATCGATCTACGCACCTCCAATGTAGATATACGCAGTTTCAGTGTCGTGAAGTTATGAAGAGGAATAATCGGAGATAAGGAAGAAGAAGTAGTGTCAACGGTGATGCTAACAGAGGAGAAATATTGGTCTGTCAAATTTCTCTGTGATATATGAGTGTGGGGTTGAGGGACTTTAGATATCATAAAATAATATTATGAATCTCTCACATTACTAAAAATGAGAAAGATACATTAGACTAATTTTTCCTTTTTTTTATGTATACTTGACCTCT